CAAAAGGCAGCGTGGGAAGACAATTACAATGAAATGTGCAAGGAGCTGGAGTCAGAAAATCAAAAGGGGTGAACTCGCTCAGCATTTCTTAAGCTTAAGCAACTGAAAAACAAATTCAAACCTTGACTGCAATACTTTAGGATGCTTTGGGCAGAATATTAAATAATCCAGGAATTATTAAAAGAAGATGGAAAGAGTATACAGAGTCATGGTACCAAAAGACAGACACAGAAAAATTTCATGAAACAACATATGAGCAAGAGCCTATTGTGATTAAGGAAGAAGTTCAAGCAATTTTGAAAGAATTGGCCAAAAAATAAGGCTCTAGGAATTGATGGCATGCCAATTGATATACTTCAACTAACAGATGCTGCCCTATATGTGCTCACCAAGTTGTGTCAAGAAATCTGGAGGACAACCACTGGGCCAACTCACTGGAAGAGATCTATACTTATTCACATTCCGAAGAAAGGTGATCCAAAAGTGTATGGAAATTATCGAACAATATCATTAATATCACATGCAAGCAAGATTCTGCTGAAGATTATCCATAACAACTGGAACAGCACATCAACAGAGAACTGCCAGAAGTGCAGGCTGCCTTTAGAAGGGGACTGGATACTAGGAATATTGTAGCTAATGTCGATGGATCTTGGCTGAAAGCAGGGAGTATCAATGAAATGTCTATCTATGTTTTATTGATTATGCCAAGGTGTTTGTGTAGTTCTTAACAAACTGTGACTAACAATGGGAATCCCAGAACACTTGATTGTGATAATACAAAACCTATACTTGGACCAGGAGGTAGTTGTCAGAACAGAGCAAGGAAATACTGCATGGTTCAAAATTGAAAATGTTTTACACCAGCGACATGTCCTATTCCCATACCTTTTCAACCTATATGCAGAACAGATTATCCAGGAGGCTGGGCTCTGTGAGAAGAAATGTAGCATCAACATTGGAGGAAGATTCATCAACAATCTTCGTTATGCAGATGACACAACCCTGCTAGCTGAAACTGAGGAGGACCTGAAGTGCTTGATGTAGAAGGTCAAGGAATGCAGCCTTCAATATGGATTGAGGATTAATATCAAGAAAACAAAGATTCTCACCACTGCTCCACCACTGGATGGTGAAGAGATTGAGACTGCTGACAATTTTAGTTTGCTTGGCTCAACAGTCAACAATCTTGGGACCAGCAGCCAGGAAATCAAAAGATGTATTTTGATGAGAAAGTCAGCTGTCTGAGCCCTCTCCAAAATACTGAAGAGCAATGTCAGTTTGGAGATCAAAGTGTACCTGATACAGGCCGTGGTCTTTGCAATCACTTGCTATGCGTCAGAGAGCTGGACAATGTCTAGGGATGATAGAAGGAGAATTGATGCCTTTGAGCTGTGGTATTGGAAAAAACTTTGAATATACCATGGACTGCTAAGAATACACATAGGTTCATCCTAGAGAGGGATAAACCAGGCTGTTCCTTAGAGGACAGGATTTTGAAGCTTTATATGATATACTTTGGACATATTGCAAGGAACTACCATTCCTTGGAGAAGTATGTCATGCTTGGGAGGGTGGAGGGAGAACGATTGATTCAGTGACTGGGGTAATTGGGGTAGGTGTGTGGGAGACGGTGAGACTGACAAAGGATAGAGCAGGATTTAGGGCTGTTGTGCATAGGGCCACTATGAGTTGCAGGCGACTTCACAGCACAGAACAACAACAATAATACACACACATACACACAAGAATATATTGACCAGTTTTATGTGCAGTTAGTAATATAACAAGATTTTTAAATGTATAATGACCATATAATAACTTCATTTAAAATTATTTTGCATATAGTTATTCTTAAAGCTTTAGAAGTCTTAGCTTTATTTGCTATTGCCAAGTGCCACTGAATTGGTTGTGACCGATAGAGACCCTGTGTACAAAATTAACAGAATTGAAATCTTCAAATATGCTGGACAAACTTAATTCTTAATGGTGACTTCAAAAGGGTTAATTGATTTTGATAAAATATGGAACACCAATAGAAAGTGTTGTACTATACATAACGTTCCATTTGTGGCACAGTGCACAAGACTTCAGCCAACAGAGTATTATTAAATAATATTAGTGTCTATTTAAATTATTTTGAATGAAATTTGTTCTGTTGACAAAGAATTCACAGTAACACAGTGAGGCTAACACTAGCTTAAAATTATATAGATTAACACACTGCAATAGCAAAAATATGCTAACATAAGTGCAATTCTAAAAGAAATTATCTGAATTAATACATAGTATTTTTGTTTTTAATAAAACAGGGGTGAATTTGCTGTTGGGAACTCGATCCAGTCTATATCTGATGGACAGAAGTGGAAAAGCAGACATCACCAAACTTATAAAGCGAAGACCATTCCATCAGATTCAAGTTGTAGAGCCACTCAATTTGCTGATTACTATCTCTGGTTTGTTCAAGAACTAAAATTAACTAAGTCATTATGTATATTAATTAGGTGGCAAACTGGGTTAAAAATTTTCTCAGTTGAAAGTGTTCACAGGAGGACACTTATATAATCTTTAATTGGGGCTCTAGACTTTGGTACTTATGTTTCTTTATCCTTTTACAGTTTAAAATAATTTCTGAAATATGTTAAACCTGAATTACCTTTTTAAAACCAATTGATTTTTTGTTTTCTTGTTTTTTAAAATCTACACAGCAGAACATACACCAATTCAACACTTTCTACATACACAATTCAGTGACATTTGTGAAGTTGTTCCAATCAACATACGCTCACTCTCTTCTAAACTTCCTTCCAATCTAACCTTTACAGTTATTGTTGTCAATTTCATAGAATTAGTCCTTTTTATAGTACTCTCAGATGTGTATAATATTTGCATCACGTTGTACTGAGACTATCGGTCTAGAAAGATATTCAATAGTTTAAAATCTAGATTTATTTTAACATTTTCTAAAAGAATAGCAATAGACATAGATGTCTTAACCTTAATATTGTTTCAAAGTGTTATATAAAAACAGTAAAGACTAGTCACATGAATCGAATCTTATTTTTGTGCCTAAAAATCTTGTAATACCTAAATCCCAGAAAGGTGGTTTCTGATGGCTTGTTTTTCTTAAATGAAATGACAGAAAACAAGTGCCCTATCCCACTAGCCCTGATTATGCAGTTACACACCCTTCTCACACATACAGAAGTACTGGCAGTACTTGGAATACCTTTTGGGTTTCTGAATTCCTGAGGGGGCATGACTTAAATAAAGGCCAAGGTAAAAATTCTGGTGTTTACAGAGCCACAGTCTCAAGCTGCCCTGAAGTAGTGTGCTACACAAGGAGGCTAGTAGATAAAAAGTGACTTTCTCTTTGGAATCAAGACATTCTTTGCTACCACAATCCCAAAGAGAAGGAAAAACATTGATGCACAGTCTGTTTTAACAATTATTTTTACTTTGGATTAAAACATTTGTTAAAGAGGCAGACTATATTTACTCTTTTGTTCTAATAAATGAAGTAGATTGATTTAAATTACTGTATCTTATTTATTAGGCCATAAGAACAGACTTCGAGTCTATCATTTGACTTGGTTGAGGAACAAGATTTTAAACAATGATCCAAAAAGTAAAAGAAGACAAGAGGAAATGCTGAACACAGAGGAAGCTTGCAGAGCTATTGATAAATTAACAGGCTGTGAACATTTCAGTGTCCGTAAGTCTTATTTCATGTTTACTATATATGTGTTAATTTTGCTTCCTTTAATTAACTTTCATTTCTTTTATGAAATGTAAATTAGAGGAAGGAAAGAATTTATAGCTTTGAATAAAAAAAAATGAGTGAACTTCATTGAGACATCTTCTAGGATTTTTATGTCACAATCATTGATATTACCAAAAGAAAATTGGTTGAAATAGCTATTAAAATTAAGTATGGCTTTCTCTCTCACCTTTATTCCCTTCCCAGACAATCTAGATATTCCAGATAAACTAGTACTTTTCCCTTGTCCCCAGATAGCTTCAACTATGAAATTGTTCTTGATGTATCCTTAGCAACCTGCAAAATTTCACAGAATGGTCTTCTTTGAAACAACAATATAATTATTTGTTTTAAATCCTTCCCCATACAGACCAAAAGTCTCTATATGTCAAAAAGAAAATTTTTCTATGGTTTGCTTGCACTATTGATGTTCTTGAGATATATCTTGTCTGATTAGAGTGTTTTCACATATATTGTCTCTTCACAACCATCTGTACAATAGAGGGTTTCCAGAGCCTTGCTCCCAGCTGTCAGAAACTGGAAAAGGAATGCTGTCCCACTCCATTCTGTTTTTGAGGCAAATCCCTTCTATTCTGGTATATTTTTAATTCTTTCCTTCTTCTTTAATTGTCCCCTCAAGCAGAAGTAATTACATATATGGGAGATAGCTGGAATGCGGTTATGTGATGGAAACAATACTTCTCTCTGATCATTTCTATTCTACATAGAAAGTGGCGTTCCCAGGATAAGTACACACACACACACACACACACACACACACACACATCCTGACTAAAGGAAAAATGGAATACCCCAATAATTTAGACACACATCCTGACTAAAGGAAAAATGGAATACCCCAATAATTTAGACATTGAATAAACAGCTGTACTACAATCGCAAAGGTAAGAGATTTGAATCTACCAGCTGCTCCTCAGAAGAAGGATGGACAGTCTCTTTCTGTGCAGTTTACTGATTCTAAAAACCCACTAGAGGGTCAGCTATGAGTCAGTTCTGACTCGAGAGCACACAAGATTTTCTAGCTTTTTGTGTTACTACCTCTCTCCAAGTCAAGCAATGAGATTGTAGATTGCTAGCTCAATAAGAGAGCTATACAAATGTGGTAATCTTATAAATTTATGTCCTTGGTAAGAGAGTAGACTAATTAAAATTTTCCTGGTTGATTCCTAACAGTCCACCTCAGCTCTCAAAACCAAAAAAACCCTTATCCTACTAATAGATAAAACAGCAACATCCTTGCACAAGACAACTCTTACATGAATGTTATATTTTTTTTAATTTAAGTTGTTTATTTTTCATTTCAATGAACATCTACAGAGATTTTGGGATTCCATTCGTTCATTGTTGCACCCTTCTCCCCGCACAAACCCCTCCCCCCATTTGCTCCTCTCCTTGAAAAGCAAAAGAAAAACTCCCTCATTGGTACACAACCCCCCCGCACCCCCCCAAACCCCACCCCCTACCCCCAAATATAATCCACTCTGCAACCCTCATGCATGATATTTTTATAGCCTTCCAGAATCACAACATAATTAAGTTACCCCCAAGGAGCATTCTTGTTCAAGTATTTATGCGAATATCTATTTTCATTTCTTATGAGTACCTCTTCTTTTGGCCAATATCCATCTAATATTGGCGATGATGTCCCTAGTGTCACAACCTCTTCTAAACTCAGCTTGCATGCACATCTGGCAGTTCTCTGCTGATGTATTTGTCCAGTGTTTTTGGATAATCTTCAGCAGGATCTTGCTTGTGTGTGATTATAGTGATACTGTTCAATAATTTCCACATTTTGTCAGGTCACCTTTATTTAGGAATCGGAGTAAATATAGATCTCTACAAGTCAGTAGGCCAGGTAGTTATCCTCCAGATTTCTTGGCATAACCTGGTGAACACATCTAAGGCAGTGTCTGTTTGCTGAAGTATGTCAACTGGTATTTCATCAATTCCTGGGGCCTTGTTTTTTGCCAATTCATTTAAAGCAGCGTGAACTTGCTCCTTCATCACCACAGGCTCTTGATCATATATTGTTTAAGGAAGCCTTTCTGTGTAAGACAATTCTTTTTTGGTATAGTGACTCTGTGTACTCCTTCCATATTCTTTTGATGCTTCCTGGGTCATTCAATATTCTGCCCTCAGCAGAATCCTAACTCGAGACTTAAGCTTGTTCTTTAGTTCCTTCACCTTAAGAAACGCCCAGTGAGTTTGTCCCTTTTGATTTTCAGACTCCTGATCTTTGCACATTTCATTATAATACTTTGCTTTGTCTTCCCAAGCTCCCCTTTGAAATTTTCTTTTCAGCTCTGTAACTCCTTGATCTCTTCCCTTTGCTTTGGTTTCTCAGCACTCTAGTGCAATATTCAGAGTCTCTCTGACATTCATCTTGGTCTTTCCTTGCTCCTCTGTCTTTGTAATGTCTTTTAGCATTCTTTGTGGATGATATTCTTGATATCCTCCCATAGTTCATCTGATCTTTGTCACTAGTATTCAAGTCCTCAAACCTGTTCCAGAGATTATCTTTAAATTCTATTGATATAGACTCAAGGCCAAACTTTGGTTCTGTGGATTTAATTTTATTTAGCTTCAATTTGAACTTGCAGGTGAGTATTTGATGGTGTTGATGTTGTTGGAGTTGTTGGTGGTGTTGGTGTTGTTATGTGCCATCCAGTTGCCTGTGACTCATAGTGACTCTATGTACAATAGCTCTCATTTCGGAGACTGGGCTTTGTGAGGAGGAGTGTGGCATCAGGATTGGAACGAGATTCATCAAGAACCTGCATTATGCATACCCTCATTACCCTAGTTACTGTACCAATCTATCTCATCTAGGGTCTTCCTCTCCTGTGCTGCCCCTCCACCCTTCGAACATAGGATTGGTCTCTCCTGGCCACCTGCCCAAAGTATGTGAAACAGAGCTTCGAAATCCTAGCCTCCAAAGAGAAGCTTGGTTTTACCCTCTCAAAACAGGCTTATTTGTTTTCTTGACAGTCCATGATATGTTCCCCAGCACCACAATTCAAAAGCATCAGTTCTTCTTCTGTCATTGTTAGTCTAACTTTATGATGCAGAGCAAGTAATTGTGAAAACTATAGCCTATTTAGCTTTTCCAGTGATCCCCTCCCGCCAAAGATGTAATCAGTCAGTTGGAAAACATGGACTTGGTGATAGAAATGAAGCTGGAGATAGAATGATAGAATTTTGCACAATGACTTATTCATTGCAAATACATTCTGTAAAAAACATAACTGCAAGGCTATACATATGGATTTCACCTGATGGTATGTATAAGCATCAGATCAATTACATCTGTGTAAAGAATCACTGGAGAAGCTCAATATCAATTGTGAAATTAAGGCCAGGTGCTGATTGTGGAACAGACCACCAACTATTCATATGCAAGTTAAAGGTGAAGTTAAGGAAAATGAAATCAAATTCACAGGAATCAAAATTTGACATTTACTCTATCCCACCTGAATTTCAAAACCATCCCAAGATCAGATTTGAGGCTTTCAATACGAATGAGAGAAGACCAAATTAGCTGTGGGAGAATATCAATAATATAATCCAGGAAGAATGCAAAGGTCATTACAACGACAGAGGAAGAAAAGAAAAAGATGGATGTCAGAAGAGACTCTGCATATTGCACTACAGCACCCACCAAAAATCCAAAACAAAGGGAAGAAATCAAGATATTAAGGAGCTGAACACAATATTTCAAAGGGCAACTTGGGAAGACAAAGTATTACAATGAAATGTGCATGGAGCTAGAGTCAGAAAATCAAAGGGACTGAACTTACTCAGCATATCTTAAGCTGAAGGAACTGAAAAACATATTTAAGCCGCAAGATGCAATAGTTAAGGGTGCTTTGAGCAGAGTATTAAAGGATCCAGGAAGCAAAGAAGATGCAAAGAGTATACAGAGTCACTGTACCAAAAGGAATTGGCTAACATATAATAATTTCATGAAACAATATATAAGCAACAGCCTGTGGTGATGAAGGAAGAAGTTCAAGCTGCTCTGAAAGACTTTTGCAGAAAACTGGGCCTCAGGAATTGATGGCATAACAATTGACATATTTAAAAAAACACTGCCCTGGATGTGCTTACAAAGTTGTGCCAAAAATTCTAAAGGACAACCACCTGGCCAATTGACTGGAAGAGATCTATATATATTTGTTCCTATTCCAAAGAAAGGTGACCCAACATAATGTGGAAATTATCAAACAATATCTTTGATATCACAGGCAAGCAAAATTGTCCTGAAGATTATCCAAAAATGACTGGAACAGCACATCAACAGAGAACTGCCTGAAGTGCAGGCTGGGTTTAAAAGAGGTGCTAGGGATGTTATAGCTAATGTTAGATGGATCTTGGCTGAAAGCAGAGAGTACCAGAGGACCATCTATCTGTGTTTCATTGATTATGCAAAGGCATTTGACAATGTGGATCACAACAAACCGTGGCTGACTCTGAGAAGAATGGGAATCCCAGAACACTTGATTGTGCTTATGTAAAACCTATACTTGGACCAGGAGGCAGTAGTCAGAACAGAGCAAGCATGGTTCAAAATTGCCAAGGGTAGGAGCTCTGGTGGCCTAGTGACAAGAAGCTGCACTGCAATCCCAGAGGTTGTTGTTGTTGTTATGTGCCATCTAGTCGCTTGGGACTCATAGCGACCCTATGCACAACAGCCCTAAACACTGCTCTGTCCTGTGCCAATCGCAGTGTCTCTGACACTCCCATCCCAATTATCCCAGTCACTGAATCAATCTACCTCATAGAGGGCCTTCCCCTCCTTCGCTGTCCCTCCACCCTCCCAAGCATGATGTCCTTCTCCAAGGACCGGTCTCTCCTCACAACATGTCCAAAGTATGTTAGACGGAGCCTCACAATCCTTGCCTCCAAGGAGCCACCCGGTTTAACCCTTTCCAGGACAAATCTGTTTGTTTTCCTAGCAGTCCATGGTATTCTCAATACTCTTCTCCAGCACCACAGCTCAAAGGCATCAATTCTCCTTCTGTCCTCCTTGGTCATTGTCCAACTCTCTGATGCATAACAAGTGATTGTGAAGACCATGGCCTGTATCAGACGCACCTTAGTCTCCAGGGAGACACCATTGCTCTTCAGTACTTTGGAGAGGTCCCTAACAGTAGACTTTCCCATGGCAATGTGCCTTTTAATTTCCTGGCTGCTGGTGCCAAGACTGTTGACTGTGGAGCCAAGCAAAGTAAAGCTGTGTACAATCTCAATCTCTTCACCATCCATCCTGATGCTGCCAATTGGTCCAGTGGTGAGAATCTCTATCTTCTTGACATTGAGCCTCAATCCATATTGGAGGCTGCAGTCCTTGACCCTCTGCAGCAGACGCTTCAGGTCCTCCTCAGTTTCAGCAAGCAGGGTTGTGTCATCTGCATAAAGCAGATTGTTGATAAATCATCCACCCACCAATCTTGACCCCACATTTCTCCTCATAGAGCCCAGCCTCCCGGATAATCTGTTCTGCATATAGGTTGAAAAGGTATGGAGATAGGATGCATCCTTGGTGTACACCCTTCCCAGAGGTATGCGCTTAAAATCCACCAGATGCTTTGCTGGAGAAGGAGATGCAACCTCCTCCTCCTGTACTAGTCAGATCTGATTTTACAGTACACACACACAGAAAAATAACAAAATTTTTTTAAAAAAATTGCCAAGGATGTATGCCAGAGATGTGTTCTATTTCCATACTTTTTCAATCTATATGCAGAACAGATTATCCTGGAAGCTGAGTTCTGTGAGGAGAAATGTGGCATCAGGATTGGAGGAAGAATTATGAACAATTTGTGTTATGCAGATGACACAACCCTGTTTGCTGAAACTGAGAAGGACCTAAAGCACTTGCTGCAGAAGGTCAAGGACTGCAGCCTTCAATATGCATGAAAATAAAGATTTTACCACTGGGCCAATTGGCAGCATCATGAAAGATGCTGAAGAGATTGATATTGATAACAGCTTTAGTTTGTTTGGCTCCACAATCAACATTCTTGGTACCAGCAGCCAGAAAATTAAAAGAAGTATTATGTTGGGAAAGTCTGCTGTCAGAGACCTCTGCAAAGTATTGAAGAACAACAATGTCAGCCTGGAGACTAAGGTGTGCCTGATCCAGGCCATAGTCTTTGCAGTTACTTGTTATACATCAGAAAGCTGGACAATGCCTAGGGATGATAGAAGGAGAATTGATGCCTTTGAGCTATGGTGCTGGAGAAGATCACTGAATATACCATGAACTGCTAAGAATATTGAATATACCATAGACTGCTATGAGAACAAACAGGTTTGTCCTAGAGAGGATGAGACTAGGCTGCTCCTTGGAGGCAAGCATTTTGAAGTTTTATCTGTCATACTTTGGACATGTTGCAAGGAGGAACCAGTCCTTAGAGAAGGATGCCATGCTTGGGAGGGTGGAGAGACAGCGCAAGAGAAATGAAATGGAATGATTTCAGTGACTGGGGTAATGATAAGATTGGTACAGGATATAACAGGGTTTGGGGCTGTTGTACATATGGTCGCTGTGAGTAGCAGGTGTCTCGATGGCACATAACAGTAATTAATTGGATCTTGGCTAAAAACAGAGACTACCAGAGGAATGCCTATCTGTGTTGCCACTGGGCCGATTGGCAGCTTCGTGATAGATGATGAAGATATTTAGATTGTTAAAAGTCTTAGCTTTCTTGGCTCCACAATCAACTCTCTTGGCACCAGCCATCAGGGAATCAAAAGGCAAATTGCATTGGAAAAGTCTGCTGTTAAAGACCACTGTAGAGTACTGAAGAGAAACAATGTCAGCCTGGAGACTAAGGAGCGCCTGATGCAGGCCATAGTCTTTGCAGTTACTTGCTATGTGTCAGAACACTGGACAATGACTAAGGACAATAGAAGGATTGATGCCTTTGAGTTGTGATGGAGAAGAGTGTTGAACATACCATGGACTGCTGGGAGAACAGAGAGTCTGTTTTGGAGAAAGTGAACCCAAGCTGCTCCCTGGAGGCAAGGATTTTGCAGCTCCATCTCACAAACTTTGGACCAGGAGAGATCTGTCCTTGGAGAAGAACATAATACTTAGAAGGGTGGAGGGACAGCAGAGGAAAGGAAGACCCAGATGAGATGAATTGACTTGATGACTGGAGAAGTGGCTTGAGACTTTCAGAGATTATGAGATTGACTCAGGATAGGCCAGGGTTCAGAGCTGTTGTACATAGGATTGCTATTAGTGTCACGAAACTCGACTGCACATAACAACAACAACATGAGTAGGTGTCTAGGATGGGAATTGTTAGGTCATATGTTAATTGCACGTTTAACTTTTTAAGGATAGACATTGCTTTCATGAAGGAAACCTTATGGATGGCCCTGCTTTCCTGTTGGCCAGATGATTCTACTAGATCTGGACCTAGATTTGGCCTACATCATTTGCCTTTCTGAGGAACTTCCAAACAGTTTTCAACAACAGCTGAATAATTTTACATTCCTTTCTGGAATGAACAAGCACTCCATTCTCTGTATTCTGGTCAACACTAGTTATTTTTTTCTTTGTTATAGGCATTCTTGTTAGTATGAAGTAGTATCTCATTGTTTCAATTTTCATTTCCCTAGTCAGTGGTAATTTGATTCTGAGAATCTTTTTATGCGTTTGTTTTCCGTTTACATGTTTTCTTTGCAAAAATTTCTATTTCAGTCTTTCCCCCACTTTTTCTCCTTTGGATACTTTTATTCCCCAAGACTTTTGTCTATTCTGAGTCCTTTACAATTTCATATGAGTTTTATGAGTTTTAATTTTCTACAGAAAGGTCATTGATATTTTTATTAAGTATTGCAATGACTCTCTGAATCACTTTGGATAGTATTGTTATCTTAACAATATTAAGACTTCCAGTGTGTAAACATGGAAAGTTCTTCCATTTTTTTAGGTATTCTTTCATGTCCATCTTTATTTGGGCTCCAAAATTTAATCAAATAGGTTTTCTAAAAATATGTGTTCTGTGTTTTTATGTTGGGCTATTAACATTTTCATTGACAAGTACAAATATTTGAGTATTTCTTTTAATTCTATGACTTTACATTTTTATATTTCATCATTGTAGTTCAACATGAAGAAACAACTTGCATTGCAATTGCTTTAAAATCATCAATTCACCTCTATGCCTGGGCACCAAAGTCATTTGATGAAAGGACTGCCATTAAAGTAAGTGAACTGCTTTTCAGAATGTTTTCTTTCCTATGAAATTATAAACCAAAATGTTCTGGACTGTTGTTGTTGTTATGTGTCATGGAGTTGCTTGCAACTCATAGCGACCCTATGTACAACAGCCCTAAACTCTGCTCTATCCTGTGCCAATCGCACTGTCTCTGACACACCCATCCCGATTACCCCAGTCACTGAATCAATCCACTTCGTAGAGGGCCTTCCCCTCCTTCGCTGTTCCTCTACCCTCCCAAGCATGATGTCCTTCTCCAAGGACCGGTCCCTCCTTACGACATGTCCAAGGTATCTTAGAAAGAGCCTCAGAATCCTTGCCTTCAGAGAGCAGCCCAGTTTTACCCTTTCCAGGATAAATCTGTTTGTTTTCCTATCAGTCCATGGTACTCTCAATACTCTTCTCCAACACCACAGCTCAAAGGCATCATTCTCCTTCTATCTTCCTTAGTCACTCTCCAACTCTCTGACACATAACAAGTGATAGCAAAGACCACGGCCTGTATCAGATGCACCTTAGTCTCTATAAGTGAAAAAAAAAAATAGACACCACTCTTCTACAATTAATAGAATTTGAACGTACTGTGTCAATAATCATTGTTTAATGCTTTTTAGGCAATTCACAGGCACCATGACAAAGGAGAATATGAGGGAAATCCTCTAACCCTCCTCTTCCCACTAGCTCTTCACTTCCACTCACTTGTCATAAAAAAGATGTTCCTTTCTAGAGACTCAAACACAGGTTTTGGGTGCCACCACAACGGCTTGAAGCTAAGAAAGCCACTATTCCCTTAGTGGGGGGTGGAGACCGTAGGGAAGGTAAGAAAACATAACAGGAATGGTAGAGAATCAGATTCCACTGAAAAAGGAATGAGAAAAAAAGAAAGCCTTTGTTTCAATACCAGAGCTGTAAAAGATGAAAGTGGGTAGCAAAGGAGTAGATCTATATTCCTTCCAAGCTCGAATTTGGAAAACACATTTCTCTTTAGATATATTGAGAAGTATAGTGGTTAGACTGAAGTGGACTTCTGGTATTATTTTCACCTTTATTGATGTTAGCATAATTTATATGGATCAGCCTCACTCAGAAGTTAGTGATATTTTTATCATGTTCCATAAACTGGGGCCTTTTTATCTAAAATGCCTAATTTGCAATGCATCAGAATTAAAGTCATTCCATTTAAATAGGACTATTTTGCATACTTGATAATTGATAGAGTACCAGAGGAATTTCTGTCTGTGTTTCACAGACTATGCAAAGGCTTTTGACTGTATGGATCACAACAAATTGTGGCTGACTCTGAGAAGAATGGGAATCTCAGAACACTTCATCATGCTTATGTGAAAACTATACTTGAACCAAAGGGCAGTAGTCAGAACAGAGCAGGGTAACACTGCATGGTTCAAAATTGGGAAGGATATACGCCAGGGATGTATCCCGTCTCTATACCTTTTCTATCTGGGAGACTAAGGGGGAATGTGGCATCAAGATTGGAGAAAGATTCATCAACAACCTCTGTTATGCAGATGACACAACCCTGCTTGCTGAAACTGAAGAAGACCTGAAGTACTTGCTGTAGAAGGTCAAGGACTGCAGGCTTCAATATGGACTGAAGCTTAACATCAAGAAAACAAAGATTCTCACCACTGAGCCAATTGGTAGCATCATTATGGATGGTGAAGAGATTGAAATTGTTGACAGTTTTAATTTACTTGGCTCCACAATTAACATTCTTGGTACCAGCAGCCATCAAGAGATGAATTGCACTGGGAAAGTCAGCTGTCAATGACCTCTCCAGAATACTGAAGAGCAGTGACATTAGTCTGGAGACTAAGGTGTGCCTGATCCAGGCCATAGTCTTTGCAATTGCTCGCTATGTGTCAGAGAGCTGGACAATGACTACAGATTATAGAAAGAGAATGGATTCCTTTGGGCTTTGGTGCTGGAGAAGAGTGTTGAATAAACCATGGACTACTACAACAAACTGGTTCATACTGGAGAGGGTGAAACTGGACTGCTTGCTTCTTGGAGGCAAGCATTCTGAAGCTTCATTTGGGCATATTACAAAGAGAGACCGGTCCTTGGAGAGGGACATCATGTTTGGGAGGGTGGAGGTACAGCTCAAGAGAGGAAGAACCTCGATGGGATGGATCGATTCAGTAACTGGTGTAATGGAGGTAGGTGTATCAGAGGCAATAAGATTGGCACAGGATAGAGCAGGGTTTAGGGCTCTTGTACATAGGGTCGCTATGAGTCGCAAGCAACTCAATGACACATAACAACAACACAACAAAAACAAAGGCAAGGTGGATTAACATAATGACTACAACAAAGGGCTTTAACATGGCAGAAATCACAAGGATGGTGCAGGATAGGGCAGATCTATTGTTCATAGGGTCACTAGTCATAGCTGACTTGATAGTACCTAACGACAATAAAGACAGATCAAGAAACTGATGACTTTATATAGAGTACAGCACCTCTTAACCAGTGCTGTAAACCAGAATCACTCAGAGCATTTGTTGAAAATTCAGATCTCAGACCCAATTCCAGGTCTAGAATGGGGCCTGAGAGTTGATGTTTCTAACATATGTCTAGTTGATTTTGGACTAGTTTGTCCATGGGGACCTGAGTTTACAAAATAACCTTGATAGATCTCAGAAAGCTATTGATGAATTACACTTGTATCTTACATTTTGATCTATTTATGTGGATATTACATAGACCAAGATATAGACAATAAAGATATCCTAATTATTAAGATTATCCTCTGACATCTATTTTCACAATAAATAGATTGCATAGATAGCCTAAGTCTCCTCTGATACAGATCATATCACTGATCTGCTAAATTAAGTCTTGGATCATTTGTCAGTATTTGGTTATAGGTTTCTTCTTGAGAGTCTGTTGATTGGTCACAGTTGACTGGTATAGTACTGGAAAGCAAAGACACCAAAGACATACATAAGTATCAACCTTCTTTCTAGCCTTGATACACAGTTCTTGTTCCAAGATCTCATGTTAGTTCTTGAATCCTACCTAACGACTATAGGATGATGACTTTTATGTTACTCTTTTCTCTATTGTGACCTGCTTTGGCAAAGAATTGTGTTTTAGACTAGAAATCATAACCTACAGTGTTCCCATTCTGTGGTAGATTATCATGTCTGACTTTTCCATTCTCTATCAAGTATGCATTAATCAGTCAGCAGACTCTGAAGGAGACTACACGTCCTATGAAGCCTATATATGAATACTGGGAAAAATAGAGGCAGTCATTCCAGTGAATCAGTTTAAGAAACCAAATGAGCTCTTCATTTGCTGAAGCTCAAGGCAAAACATTTAAAGACAAGAGTGTAGGACCATGTATGGCTCTTAGGATCCCTGACAATTTGAAGGGAAACTCAAGCTTTATAATCTGACTATAAATACATCCCTTTTGCAATAACAGATTTAAAAGCAGTTTTATAGGGTTTTATGTAAATAGTTTTATTGAAAAAATAAACTTAGATTTTAAAAAACTTATCAAGCAAATAGTGGGAGAGTTTTTCCCCTAGTCAAAATGACATTTGGGCCTTTGGGCGTGTTTGATTTTATATTTGCAGATCTATTCAACACTTGGTCATAAGCCAGTGACAGTTGACCTGGCTATTGGTTCTGAAAAGAAACTAAAGATTTTCTTCAGCTCAGCAGATGGATATCACATTATTGATGCAGAATCTGAAGTTATATCTGATGTGACTCTACCCAATAATGTAAGATAATATCTACAGAATCTTACAAATGATTAATTGTCATTGTTGGGTTTTTTGGTTTTTTTCCAATGACAAACACTTAAAGGCTTGAAAATGTTACTCTCAATGTATTTAGGTATTGAGACTAAATAAAACGTAAGTACATAATACTTTCTTTCTAGTATTCACAGGGAAACAAAAATGATTGATGTTTTAGTCCAGAAAACTGAGTAGATAGATATCAACTGTAGACAGAATTTATTTACAATAGCATTTTTTACTTGTTTTTAATGTATAAAATTTATATTTGGAAGTCCATACTTCTATGGAATTGAAAATAGGAGTGGCATCCACTTCCTAAAAAACATGCCTCTGGAAACTCTATGAACTTTGATAAATGGGGATAGTTATAGAAACACTTCAGGCCTTTTGTTCATAGAGTTGCTGTGAGTTGTGCTCGATTAGACAGCAATCAACAAAAACAACTTCCGTGGAAAACCCATAATTAGCCAACAGCATCAGGTCAACACTTCTATGTGGCCTTTATCGAGTGGAAGTAACTTTTACCTGTCTTCTTTTGCCTAGATACATTTTCTATGTTCTTTATCCCTCTACCTTTATGGATTGAGAATAACTAGGGCTTGTTATGTTGTAGTGAGCAACAGATCCTTTAAAAATATAACGGATTGCAAAGTGGACTGGGAGAGGAGGAAGGGAGGGCAAGAGAAGAAAATGTGCAATGATGAATGAATGGAAATCGTTCTGTAAACTTTCATTAAAATAACAAAAAATTTTAGAAATTATTATAACTCAGGGGTAAAAATGTACAACAATGAATAAATAAAAATGTAACTTTTCTGTAAACTTTTGTTAAAATAATAATGAAAATAATTTTTTAAAAAAATATTATAATCCTTAAAAAACAAAACAAATATTCTGCAGAAAAAAATAAATGACCACCCCTTACCTGGATTGAGAAGAGGTAATGGAATGAGGGATATAATTGCTGATGTAAGATAAATCTTTACTCAAAGCTGAGAATACCAGAAAAATATTTATTTGTTTTTTATTAACTATATAAAGACATTGGACTATGTGGGTTATAAATTATGTGTAAATGATGCACAGAATGGGAATTCCAGAGCATTTAGTTCATCCTGTCCCGGACTCTGGCTCCTTGAGGCACGGCAGGTTTGAGGGCTCAGGGCAATTTTGGTGTTCTTTTGGTCCCACGTGGGGGTCGACAGAGTGGACTTGCCAGAGGAACTGGGGGTCTGGCGGAAGGACTTTCCCAGCATTTGGGCATGCCGAGTTGGTAAGACACTGAAGGTCGCGCCCCTCCTAGGGTCTTGGGAGATTTAATGTCAGCTGAATCCAGACTCTGGCTCCTTGAGGCACGTCAGGTTTGAGGGCATCCGCTTCCATAATAGCTTGCCTCCGGAAATGCTATGAACCTGGAGAGAGGATGAAAGACACCCAAGCGTCGAGGACTCTCCTCCATAGGGTCGCCATGAGTCGACTGTGACTCGATGGCATTTAACAACAACAGTTCATCCTGTAATACTTCAAGATGCAGATGTTAGAACAGAAAAATAATATATATGAATATTAACATTTGAAATATTATATAGACTTTATTTTTACTCACCTTGAGTTATTTTGTTTTATACAATAAACTATCATAGTGTTGATTACCATTGGAATCTCTGATCAAAATATTCAATGTTTTAAAATCAGTGTTCTTCAACTCTTAGTGAAAATAAGACACCAAAAGAATGAATTGTTAAAAATACAATACATACTGCTTATGGGAAAAAAAAAACCAACATAGCATATTAAATAAAGGGAGGCTGTAGTGGTGTAGTCTGTAGGGAGTTGCACTGCTAATCCAAAGATGATACCACTTTTGTGGTTCGAATCCACTGACACCTCCAAGGGAAAAATATGGACATCTCCTTTCATGTGATTTATAGCCTAAAAAATCCCTCTGGAGTGTCACTTAAAAATTGGTTTAGACTCAATGGCAAAGTAGTGATTTTTAGCATAGTAAAAACATAGACATACATACACCGTATCAAACATAATACCACTCTATCTCAAATTTAATGATGTTTGTTTTATTGAAATTTAATTTTAAAAGGAAAAGCTGGGCCAATGTTTCTATTTTTCAATCTTTCCTTAGTTCTCTAGTTTATAGACAAAATTTTTCTGTTTAACATTATATAAATAGTGCAGAAAAAACGTAGATTGATTTTAAAAAATCATTGCGATGTTGTAAGGAACTTTGGCTTCCCATTGGTTAAAGCACTCAGCTGCTAACTGAAAAGCAGGTGATTTAAACCCATCAACTGCTCCATGATATGACAATCTGCTTCCATAAAGCATGGCTGTTAGTTACTACTATTTCATAGAGCTGGAATGCCACCTGGTACTGTATTATCTTCATGAACATTAGTATTAAATCACTATGATTGTGAGGTATTTTGAATAGATTTCAAGATGTCTGATACACCTCTGAAAAATCACAGAGAACAATTGCCAGATCACAACTAGGGATACTTGAAAAAAAGTTTGTTCATATTAATGATGTCATTAGCTGACCACCTATTTGATTATATATGAGTCACTTGGATAATGTAAAAAATATGGAATCATGCCCAAACGAGCCACCTAAATATATGTTCTTTTTGAGATAAAAATTATAATGCTCTTTCTACTGATGTACCTTCCATAACTTCCTGCATCTTATTCCTCCCCCCCACCACTACTTTAAAACTTTAGAGTGTTGCACCAGAGCATCTTTATTTAAAAGTGAATGCAATGCTCACCACTACATTATTGGTCCAAGTTTACACTTATTTGAAAAGCCAGGTCAAGGAAGTTGAGCCCTGTGTGCCATTTCATTCCTGAGTAAGGAGAATTATTTGTGAGGCAGTCATTAGTTAACTAATTAACTAATCTGCAATTAGTTATTGTAGAAACTAGAATGAATGGTGATAATCTTTAAAATAATTTTCTAACCTAATTAAAATACCTTATGTAGATTAAAAATAATATTTTCAGCTGAATACCCTAGTGTCTTGACCCACCAGGAGAGAAAAAAAAAATCCTCTAATACAAGGGAAAGGAGGCTATTTTCTGAAATGGAATGTACTAAAAATAATATTTTTCCCAGGAGTACTAGATTACAAAAACTGTAATGCTGCAAGTGAGCCATGTGTGCTAAAGAATAATTGGTTACTTCAGGAATTATCTGAGAAGGAAGAGAATTATCACTGAAGCCTTCTGCATTTGAATCAGTCCTGTTTTATTCTGAAAAGATTTTATTAAGACAACCTTTTTTTCTTGCACTCTTTCCTCTTTTCATCTCTTTTCTGATTCATTTGCTCATGCGAGTACCCAGGCAACGCATTAAAATTGCTTTTCGCCTCTGGATTCCCGTTTTAGTTTTAAGGATTGTAGCTGCTGAGGCATGGCCTCAAGCACTTGGCCTGAGTATGCTCAGTTTGGCAAGTATAGTTTATTATTTCCTTTCACATCCACCCTGTAATTTACTAGTTTTGAAAAGTGGTAGAGCAGTTTAATTATTCAAAGAAATACTGTAATGTGACAGTAACTGTAGTTAAAGCAAATTTTGTCACAATATGCAGCATGAAAATTAAGATGCTTAGATATTCCTTAATAGCTCATATTATGTCATTAAGACTCTGAATTTGATAATATCTCTGATTTTTGAGAGGTATCTTCTGTTTATCAATTGCATTTAAGACTATATATTAGATAGGAAATTGTACATTTTAAAAGAAGAGAGGAAAATGAAAATATATCAAGAAGTAAATAATATAGAGCTTACTTTTATGAACATTTTAAGCTCCAATTATTTTTAAGTTCATTTTCTGTTTCTGCTTTTAATGCATTGGTTGATAATCTGAGATGAAGATTAGTCACACATTCTTTATTAAAGTATTCAGAAATGTGCTGAAATGAATCTTCAGCTCTGCAAGTAACATTTGTTCTATGCTTATAATTTGCTGAAATCTCAGCAAATTTCTCTGTTGAAAATGTATCTTGATTTTTTTTCAAGAAGAGAGTTCTCATAAATACAAAGGAATATTACACAATGACAACTTTATTTTATTCCATATGGAAGGCTTTTATTTTAAGTTTGGGATGGCATGTAGTTTAATTTTTAAATAGAAGTGCTCTCCTTTCATGGCAATTTGAACTGATTTTTGTCTTTTTAAGTAAATCTGGCTGCCTCAGTTAAAGTAATTTGGACATGGACATTTTTATGGAACCTAATTCTAGCCCCTGGAAATTATTCTACCACAGAATATCATCATTCTACCTGATTGCTTGGGAATTGGCATGATGCTCACCTTTGATGCTGAAGCCCTTTCTGTGGAAACCAATGAACAACTCTTCAAGAAGATCCTTGATGTATGGAAAGACATACCATCTTCTGTTGGTATGTATATAATGTCTTAGTCTTTAAATGATCTCAGAGCAGCTTTTCAAGGGTAAAAAAATTTTAAAAAAGTAGTAAAAAGTTGCACATTTTCCCATAGGCATGTAGGATTAATTTGGGTTTCTGCATAATTTGTTTCCTTGGGAAAATGAAGTGTGTGTTTGTAATATGCTTGATTCATTCACAGGAAGATCATGATGAAGCTGATTTTTATTACCTGATTTGTTGTTTATTTGAAATAGTTATGTAATAGAAATAGAACTAATTCCATCTCACAGTAATCTGTACTTTTATTTTAACTCTCTTTGCTTGCTGACTTTACACAGATGTTGGAATTGCTTCTTTCCATCATGTTAATCTTTGGAGTTTATGCTTATTTTAAAAGATTGCCAAATGGCCATTAAAATAAAAAATATTTCTGCTTCTCACAGTTAGTAATGTTCTGTTTCATGACTAATACTTCTATCTAGAATAAAATACAAATTAAGTATATGCCATATTGTTTGTCACTAAAATGTCCTCATTCCACATTTAGAAGAGATAAGTAATGACTGACTGGAATATCTATTACATATTAACCATATAGCAAAGTAAGGAAAACTTCCTTTTCAATCTCTACCAAATCTCACACTCGGATAACAGAAAAATTGTTTTGTATTTCTCGGAGGCTTTATAATTACAGGGGAGATTGTAGATAGAGGAAAAAGGCATGGAAAATTGAAAATATTAGAGAAAGCAGAAATTTTTGATAGGGGAAAATACTTATGCAAGAAGGAAGAATTTAATGGCATAAATAAAGGAGAGGAAGGAGGAAGAGAAGGAGAAAAAGATAAAATAAAGGAAAAAGTCTGTCCATAGAGAATCCAGATATATATCCATATATTACATATATAATATGTAAAATTGATGTATGCAATTCTCAAAATCGTTTTAAGGATCAGTTTCAAAGAACCGCTTTTTTTTAAGAGCCAACTTTTAACAGTCACTTTTCATTATGATATAATGGCACTTTATAAAGCATCTGCAAACCACTCTTTTTGCATGTATAGTGTTTCGTATTGTTCTAAAAACCTTTTCCTATTTCTCAGAACAGTTAAGAAATAAGAACTACTTTAAAACAGAATGCAAATGTTCACAACATAATTGACAGATCAAGGGCAAAATGTACTGAAAATAAAGACTATTTTTCTAATCTTTATGGTGGTAATTTTATAATCAGTATGTAAATAAAAAATTGGAATTAGGTAACTAATGCAAATGAGGAGTTGAACAAACCCCTATATTTATGTTACTGGATAATCAATCATAGGAGTCCAATAAGTGAAAAGTCATCTCACACAGCTCTTGTCATTGGACATCTTCTTATCTAAAAAGGGGGAGGGGAAACTATTTTGATTTTCTAGGATTTGTAAGGCATCTCTCTAACTACACATTAAATAAATTATAATACTTTCAAAACATGATGTTTGGTTTGTGAATTAAAGATTTTTGTGAATATACTAAAGATTAGTGCTGTTAGTATAGTCTGAGTTTTTTGCTATTAAAATATGTCAGTCTATTTTCTCTCTCTCAAGAAACCCAAACTTTCTTAATTATTGAAAACTAACCCAGATTAAGATATCCCTAAACATGTTATATAGTATTTTTCAAAATCATTGCTCTTGAGTACTGCATAATATTCCACTGTGTGAGTGTATCACAATTTCTCAATCCAGTCATTTGCTGATGGGCATTTTGGCTTCCATTTTCTTGCTATTGTGAATAATGCTGCTATGAATATTGGTGTACAAATTTCTGTGTAACTCAATTTCTTAAGGGCAAATATTGCATTAAGACTATTATTGTAAAAATAGAAGGATAACTAGTAAGATATATACCAAAGTCCAAAAGGGGAGGGGGAATGAGGAGGGGAGCTGAAAGTGGGGAGAGAGGGAAGTCTCAAGATCACAGTTTGGTGGGCAAAGCAAAAGGGTGAAGGGATTAGGAAAGAACTAGTGGGGACCAAAAAAGATGGGGTAATGACTGGCATAGATCAATGGTGATTCATTTTATAAAACACAATATATGGGAAAGATAATGTGAAACACTGTGAATGGTGGAATGCATGAAACACAATGTATAGAAACAAAATACAATGTATATGACTTTCATATGTAAAGCAATATAAAATAAAAAATAAAGAGAAAATAAAGATATCCCTAAACACATATTTAAAGGCACAACAATCATAGCAAATATTATTTAATGTCCAGTCTCAGAAAGCAAGCTGGCCCACACAACTACTCTACTCAGTAACTAGGTTAAGTGGTCAATTTATGTACCAAATTTTTTGAGAGGTTTTAGTTCCAAAAATGAGACGGAAATTTGGGATTCTTTGTCAATTGTGTACTTAGAAACTTTGTTCTGTGAGGTTATTGGCATGAATACCATATTAAATAGTATTCATATTAAATGAAGTAGTCACACAGGTTCATAAATTCAAATGCAAATAGACTAAATCTGTTACTTTTTCTCAGCACTCAGGTCATTATGATTTCTCTTACATAGTGTCTGTCATGATTTTAAGCCTAAACTGAAATGGAATTTATAAAGGCATGTTGAGAAGAACAATTTTTTCTTATAAAAATATTCTTATTTATTAATATAAATATTATTAATATATCATTAATAGTAATATTAATAATAACTAATATATTATTTCTATTATTGAATGATGTCAGTTTTAAAACTATGGTATACCTGATCAAGGCTAGTTCTTTTCACTTACTTGCTTAACAATGAATAGCAATAACAGAAGAAGAATTGATACCTTTGAACTGTAGTGTTGGAGAAGAATACTGAACATTCTATGGAATGACAAAAGAACAAAGAGATAGGTGTTGGAAAATGTGCAACCCAAGTGCTCCTTGGAAGCAAGGATGGCGGAGCTCTATCTCTCATACGCTGGACATGTTACTAGGAGGAACTATTCCTTGGAAAACTATTTCATGCTTGTAAAGGTGGAGGGTCAGCAAAAGAGGGGTAGACACCCCAACGTGATGGATTCATAGTGACTGCAATAATGTGTTCAAGTATATCCAAGGTAGATAAGTATGGCACAGAATAGGACAAGATTCAGGTCTATTGTTCATAGGGTTGCTATAAATCATAATTGAGTTGACAACACGTAACAACAACATGGCTTAGTGGTAAGGAGCTATAGGGCTAACCCAAAGTCCACAAGGCACTCTGCAGGAGAAAGTTGGTCAATCTCCTCCTGTGCAATTTACTGCCTCTGAAAACCCACTAGCAGGTGAGCTATGGATTGGTTCTGACTCGAAAGTACATAATGATGACAACAACATGCCTATGAAAAGTCACTTTTTAAAGTTTAATAATCTCTTTATAAGTCCTTTTATCCTTACTTAACTATTAGGAGAACAAGCAGGTTTGACCTGGAGAGAGTGAAGCCAGGTTGCTCCTAGGAGTCAAGGATTCTGAAGCTTCATCTGGCATCTTTTGGGCAGTTGCAAGGAGGGACCAGTCCTTGGAGAGAGACATCATGGTTGGGAGAGTGGAGGGACAACGCTGGAGAGGAAGACCCTCAATGAGATGAATCGATTCAGTGATTGGGGGTGGCAGGAGTGTGTGTCAGAGACAGTGAGATTGGCACAGAATAGAGTAGGATTTAGGGCTCTTGTTCATAGGGTCACTATGAGTCGGAAGCGACTCAATGACACATAACAACAACAATGCATCCAAACATGGACCAAGTAAATTCTTAAACCAAAGCAGCATTAAACATTTGAGAAAGATAAGTAAATAAGAAAAATTTATACTGTAATTATATCAACATTGAAATTCCTCTGTAACAGAAGAAAATAAGAAATAAAATTTATCAAATTCTTGATTTGCTGATATTGGAATGAAAGTGACTTACATGATTTTATTATCTATTGGAATTTACTTCCTTTCAAAGAACATAAAGACAATCAACTTGAAAGTTGAACATTTAACAATTTATGTTTTACTCTGTGCCAGAAAATACAACATTAGAGAACTGCAGGCGTGGTATCTACTTCCTAAACAACATGCCTCTGGAAACACTATGAACTTTGATAAATGACAATAGTTATAGAAAGGCTTTAGGCCTTTTGGTCATAGGGTCACTATGAGTCGTGCTCGACTCTACAGCAATCAACAAGAACAACAGCATGACTATAAACTTTCTTCTTTCTTCAAGGTAATTACATTCATCATCTTTATTGTCATAAAATAATATAAATAAGAGCAAATATTAAAATGTTATAAAAATTTCCAGAGCAGAAGAAAGTCTTAATGAGCTTAAGTTCTGTTTAAAACATCATAATTTATTGACTTGCATTAAACTTGTTAAAGTCATTATTTCAGCAAATCATTTCCACTTAGTACAAATACAAACCCATACTTTATCAAATGTTTTCTTATTCTATTATAGAGGAATTTCAATGTTGACATAATTACAGTATAAATTTTTCTTTTTTTTTCTTACCAAATCATTTCCACTTAGTACAAGTACAAACCCATAATTTACCAAGAGGGAAATAAAAAATAATGACTGTGTAGGCTGAAATTTCCACAATTAATCCTTGACTTCCTCTATGATATCAGAGAAACCAAAATTTCTGGAAATTCGCTGATGATCACTATGGTATCAGTAACTAATGTGTTTGAATACCACTCCTGAACAGCAAAATGGCCAAATGATTGAATATAAAAGAAGAGGAGAGAAAAGAAAGGGATTAAAAAGCAAACAACCAAAACTATAGCATAGGGTCATTAGGAATCAGGATCAACTTGAAATCACCAAACAACACAGCAATAACTCTCTGAGGAAACATTGATTGTGGTTATAATTTTCTATCACTGCTGGAAATATTTTTCTTTTAATATTTTAATTTTTATTGTAGCTTTTGAGTGTTCTCAGCGTACCACAGGATGGGGTCAAAAGGCCATTGAAATTCGTTCTTCAAAATCGGAAGTTCTGGAAAATGAGCTAAAGCGCAGATCCATTAAGAAGCTAAGGTTCCTGTGTACTCGAGGGGACAAGGTATGGCTTACATTTCCCAGTTAGAACAAAAATAAAGCAAACATTTAAAAGTTTCTAAAGAAAGTTATATTCCTTTCCTCTGGTCATAAATGTATTTGGCTATATTTTCATATTGGCTTACTTTGATAGAAATCTGTTTAACGTTTCATAGAACTGATAAAATTCGGCTTCAAAAAGAAAAACATCTTTTGAGAAATTAGGTATTCTAGTTATGCCCTAAGGAAAGCTTAGTCATCATTTTGCTTGGTGTGAAATACATTCTATTATCTGTGAACCATAATCCTTTATATTTTCATCTTAAACTGACATTTTAAATGGGATGCTTAAGCCAATTATGCATTGTAAACTTTTAAATAGAAATCCAGTAACAGAAAAAGGAAAAATTATGTGATAGACCTTGTGCTAGGTATTTTAAAAATCTATACATCACCCTCCCCTGGGAAACTATTCCATTGCGACTATAGTATGCTACAAATGGAAAAGAAGAGGCCCTAAGCCACAAGCAGTCAATTCTGGAGCAGAAGTTCAAGGCAAAGACTTTTCCACAGAACTGTCTGAGATAGAAAGCCTTCCCTAATATTAGTACCTGGTTTTTGGACTTACAGAATCCTAAACTCAAGAGGTACTGGCTGTAGTAGATGAAACTAGCAGCAGCTTGAAGCATTCGGCATCACAGAAGCCCAGAAAGCTTGAAATAAAAGCCATCTTATAAAGGGCTGGATAGGTAGAGATAGGTGTGGAATAGAGTAGGTGGGAATAGATGGGAATGCTGATAGATCAGGGAAAGAGGTGGGTCAAGACACATGTGTCATGGGCGAGGACAACACTGAATCTATTGGTTATTTCCATAACTAAGAAAATATCTTTCTTCTGCTTTTTTCTATAAAATATTTGTATGTCAGATATTGTTCTAAATATGAGCATTCAAATTAAGACAGACTAGGCAGAAGGATTGGCCATCCACTTATGAAATAGCAGGCTTTCAAAAACCGTATGTACAATAGAGCACACTTAGACTAGCAGATAGGGCAACTGAGGCTGAGTCCTCAAGTATGGAAACACAAAGGAGAAAGAACAGTTGTGAGGAGACACTAGTGATTGGATCATGAAATGTGAGAACCATGAATGTAGGAAAATTGGATATTGTTAAGAAAGAAATGGAATGCATAACACATACTAGATATTGGAGAAATGAGATGCACTGGCATGGAATATTTTTAGTCAGATGATCACCTGATCTACTATGCTGGAAATGAAAAGTTGAGGGGGAAAAACGGCATTGCTTTCATAGTCATTTCTAGATCTGTCTTGAAATACAATGTTGTGAGTGACAGGATAATATCCATATGCATACAAGGAAGTCCAATGAACACCATGATCATTCAAATATATGCACCAACAATCAGGGCCAAAGAGGAGGAAATGGAAGATTTCTACCAACTTTTGCAGTCAGAGCTTGATCGAGCAATCAAGATGTACTCATAATAATGGATGACTGGAATGTAAAAGTTGGGAACAGAGAAGAAGAATCAGTAGTTGGAAAACATGGACTTGGTGACAGAAATGAAGCTGGAGATAGAAAGATAGAATTTTGTACAATCAATGACTCATTAGTTGCAAATACATTTTTATAAGAAACATAAACATGGGCTGTGCACATGGATTTCACCTGATGGTATGCATAAGCATCAGATCAATTACATCTGTGTAAAGAATCACTAGAGAAGCTCAATATCAGCTGTGAACATAAGGCCAGGTGCTAATTGTGGAACAGACCACCAACCACTCATATGCAAGTTCAAGCTGAAGCTGAGGAAAATTAAGACTAATCCATGGGAACCAAAATATGACTTTGAGTCTATCCCACCTGAATTTCAGAACCATCTCAGGAACAGGTATGAGGACTTGAACACAAAAGAGCGTAAACCTGCCGAGCTATGGGAGAATATCAAGAATATGATCCAAAAACAATGCAAAAGATCATTACAAAAGTAGAGAAGGAAGAAAAGACCAAGATAGATGTCAGAAAAGACTCTGAATTTTGCACTCGAGTGCCAAGAAGCCAAAGCAAGGGGACGAAATCAAGATATTGAGGAGCTGAACATAAGATTTCAAAGGACAGCTTGGGAGGAGAAAGTATTAAATGAAGTGTGCAAAGAGCTGGAGTCAGAAAATCGAAAGGGCTAAACTTGCTCAGCATTTCTAAGGCTGAAGGAACTGAAAAACAAATTCAATCCGTAAGTTGTAATAGTTAAGGATGCTTTGAGCAGAGTATTAAATGATCCAGGAAGCATTGAAAGAAGATGCAAAGAGTATACAGAGTCAGTGTACCAACAGGAATTGGCTGACACATAATAATTTCATGAAACAGCATATAAGCAAGAGCCAGTGGTGAGGAAGGAAGTCCAAGCTGCTCTGAAAGAATTGGTAGAAAACTAGGCCTCAGGAATTGATGGCATACCATTTGACATATTTCAACAAAAAGACGCTGCCCTGGATGTACTCACAAAGTTGTGCCAAGAAATCTGAAGGACAACTACTTCGACAACTGACTGGAAGAGATCTAAATTTGTTCCCATTCCAAAGAAAGGTGATCCAACTGAGTGTGGAAACTACAGAACAGTGTCATTGATTTCACATGCAAGCAAGATTCTACGATTAGAACAGCACATCAGCAGAGAACTGCCGGAAGTCCAGGCTGGGTTTAGAAGGGGTCGTGGTACTAGGGATATTGTTGCTGATGTTAGATGGATCTTGGCTGAAATCAGGGAGTACCGGAGGAATTTCTGTGTTTCATAGATTATGCAAAGGCGTTTGACTGTGAATGGGAATCCCAGAACACTTGATCATGCTTATGCAAAACCCATACTTGGACTAGGAGACAGTCATCTGAACAGAGCAAGGAGACAGTGCAGGGTTTAAAACTGGGAAAGGTGTATCCCAGGAGTGTGTCCTATCTCCATACCTTTTCTATCTATATACAAAACAGATCATCTGGGAGGCTGGGATCTATGAGGAGGTATGTGAAATCAGGATTGGAGGCAGATTTATCAACAATCTGTTATGCAGATGACACAACCCTGCTTGCTGAAACTGAGTAGAACCTGAAGCAGTTGCTACAAAAGTTTAAGGACTGCAACCTTCAATATGGATTGAAGTTCAAAATCTGGAAAACAAAGATTCTCACCACTGGTCCGACTGGCAGCATCATGAAAGACAGTAAAGAAATTGAGATTGTTAACAGCTTCCATTTGCTTGCCTCCACAATCACCAACATTCTTACCAGCAGCTAGCAAGTTAAAAAGGAAATTGAATTGGGAAAGTCAGCTGTCAGGGACTTCTTCAAAGTACTGAAGAGCAACGGTGTCAGTATGGAAACTAAGGTGCGCCTTATCCAGGCCATGGTCTTTGCAATCACTTGCTGTGCATCTGAAAGCTGGACAATGACGAGGAATGATAGAGAATTGATGCCTTTGAGCTATGGTGCTGGAGAAGAGTATTGAATATACCATAGACAGCTAGAAGAACAGGTTTATCCTGGAGAGTATTTAACCAGGCTGCTCCTTGGAGATAAGCATTCTTAATCCTCATCTGACATACTCTGGAGATGTTGCAAGGAGGGACTAGTCCTTGGTAAGGGACGTCATGCTTGGGAGAGTGAAGTGACAGTGCAAGAGAGGAAGAAGAGCCTCGATGAGGTGGATTGATTCAATGACTGAGATAATGGGGGCAGGTGGGTCAGAGACAGTGTGATTGGCACAGGATAGAGCATGTTTTAGGGCTGTTGTACAGAGGGTTGCTATGATTTACGGTGACTCGACAGCATAAAACAACATCTCATTTAGTCTTCACAAGTACACATATTCCTTTTGTCCCCTCCTAAAAGTGAAGTCCAGATTTGGCAATTATTTGAGTAATTTTATAAACTTTGACAAGCAATTCAGGTCATTTAGATGGGAAATATCATTATGTAAAATCATTTCTGCTGAGTATCACAAGCATAAAACTAGAAAATAGAAAACTTTCACATTTAGAAGACATTGTGGTGGACTCCATATTAGAACAACTAGGGTACTGCAATAAATTAAAGTGTTGTTTTGCAATATAAAGGGATGTAATGAAAGGCCTAGTACAGCTGTTTTGGAGATCATGTGAGAACAATGATATTTACAGAGGTAGCATTTTACTAAGTGTGGTATAAGAATTAAGTCAAACATACCTACTATAACTTTCATCATTACAGTTATGTCATTAAACTCTGCTTAGCATAACAATTGTGGTTGTTAAAGGCCCTATTTATGACCAAAAGGCCTCTGTTTTGTATTTATGTCTATGTGCTATTATGATTTTCTTTATGGCACAAACCACATTTACCCAACATGCCCTTGTCTAAGGCATTTTGTTTAATTAATCAATCTGTTGGTGCTTGTCCTTTCCATGGAAAACAATGTATCTCCAAGTAGGAAATGTCAATTGCTCTGTAACAGCACTAGCACTGGTAAGCAAGAGCTAAAAAGGGGGGGGGGGCTCAGTTTTGAAGGAGAAAAAAAAGACTTTTTAAATAAAAGAGATAAATTATTTAAAAAGAAAAAATGCCAAATGGAATGTTTAACTAAATCAAAGCTGAACAGAAGATTCCAAAAGGCTGCTCGGAATGACAAAGCAAAATACTACAATGAAATGTGCGAGGGACTAGAGTCAGAAAATCAAAAGGGCCGAACTCGCTCAGCATTTCTT